GGTCTCTATCCCTAGTGAGAGCAGAGCAGACTTTATCCACAAATTATTGTACATGTCTGCTCTAATCTGTCTGGAGGCTGCCTAAAGGACTGAAGCAAGGAGCCATTTCAGTTTGGCCTCAGAGCTCACACAGGGCTGAGAGGCACAGTGGTCAAAGACCTAACTACCTGAGACTAAATAGTGCAATTAAGGCATATAATAGATGCCTAATGACTGGATCAGAGAGGTCACAGAGTTTCATTTGGAAACTAAGACTTTCAAAAGCACTACATAGAGGGATTTGAGAAAGCTACCTGCATACCTAGGGCAAGACACACACTCAGAAATTACCTTTGAAGACCTTATGCTTTCACCTTGGGCTGATCCCTATGCTCAATGCAAGCTTGGCAAGGTAGTAAAGGAGTGCCTACTCCCTAACCCTGCACAGAACCAATGTGCAAACACTGCGAGAAGATTTTCTTTTGTTAGTTAGCTTGTTTGTATGTTGGCTTGCCCTCCCTCTGGAATTAAAGGCAATCTTTGTCAAAACTAGCTGAACACATACTAAGAAATAGAGACTTCAGTGTCTACACACGTCCAAAAAGGCAATCTTTGCAAAAACAGTTAGAGGGGGTCATTAAACAAATAGACAACTACAGCCTTCAACAGTTTAGAAACAGAAGACAAAACAAGCAAAGAAAAACAGCAAAGTCTGGAGAAAAGGAAGAATCTGATTATCAGAGTTACCACATTGTAAAAGTCAAATCTCACAGTTTCAACCAAAAAAAGAAGGCACAAAGCACACAAAGAAACAAAAACGATGGCCCAAACAAAAGAACAAAATTAAGTGATAGAAACTACCCAGGTAAGATCAGACAATGGACTTACTGTACAAAGACTTTAAAACAACAGTACTAAATATGCTCAGAAAGCTAAAGACAAACACAAAGAACTGAAAACAAACAAACAAAAACAATACAGGAACAAAACAAGACTATCAATAAAGAAGTAGAAATTACAAAAAGGAACCAAACAGAAACACTACAGCTGAAAAGTGCAATGTTGTTGTTGTTGTTGTTGTTATGTGCCGTCAAGTCGGCCCCGACTCATAGCGACCCCTCCTCCTTGGGTTTCTGAGGCAGTATCACTACGGAAGTAGGATTGCCCAACCTTCCTTCCAAGGAGTGGCTGGTGGGTTTGAACCGCCAGCCTTCTGGTTAGCAGTCAAGTGCTTTAGCCACTATGCTACCAGAGCTCCCTAGCTAAAATAAAAAATTCACTAGAGGGGTTTGACTGCAGATTTGAGTTGGCAGAGGAAAGAATCAGTGAAATTGAAAATAGGACAACTGAAATTGCCATGTGTGAAGAGCACACAGAAAAAAAAATAAAGAAAAGTGAGTAGAAATGAAGGGATTTGTGGGACACCATAAAGCCAACACATTATGGAAGTCCCAGAAGGAGAAGAGAGAGAGGCAGCAAGACTATCTGAGAAAGGAGCCAAAAACTTGCCAAATTTCATAAAATAAATCAATCATAAGGTCCAGAATTCAAGATGCTTAATGAATTCAAAGTAGGATAAACCCAAAGAGATCACAATGAAATCTGTTGTAATCAAACTGTAAAAAATCAAAGATAAATAAAATTTTGAAAGCAGTAAGAGAAAAGCAAATTATCAGGTACAAGAGATTCTCAATAAGATTAAGTGTCAATTTCTCCTCAGAAATCTTAGAGGCACTGCAGAGGCAGAGGGATGATATATTTAAAGGACTGAAAGAAAAGAACTGTCAACCAAGAATTCTCTATCTGACAAAACAGTCTTTCAAAAATGAGGGCAAAATTAAGACATTCCCAGATAAACAAAAGCGGAGAGAGCTGTTACCATTAAACCTGCCCCTATAAGGAACACTAATGGGAGTCCTTCAGGTTGAAATGAAAGGACACTAGACAGTAGCCTCAAAACTATATGAAGAAAAAAGATCCCCAGTAAAAGTAATTTTATGTGTAAATATAAAGACCAGTTTTATGGTAGATTTGTATTGTAACTTTACTTGTTATGTCCTACATAATTTAAAAGGCAAATGCATTAAAAATAATTATAAGTTTATGCTATTGGGTGCATAATGTATAAAGTTATAATTTTTGATAACAATAACATAAAGGAGGTTGGGATGGTAAAGGACCAGAGTATTTGTATGCTACTGATGTGAAGTTGTTATCAATTTAAACTAGATTGCTATACATTTAAGGTATTAAATATAATTCCCATGGTAACTACAAAGAAAACATCTAACAAGCAAATGCATAGAGACAAGAGTTTATTAGCGGTTACCAGGGGCTGGGAGAAGAGCGAATGGGGAGTTAATCTTTTAGGGGTGCTGAGTGTCTGTTTGGGGTGATGAAAAACATTTGGAAATAGATAGTGGTGATGGTTTCACAACATGGTGTATGTAATTAATGTCCCTAATTGTACACTTAACAAATGGTTAAACTGCCAACTTTTAATTTATATGTATATATAAAACCAAACCAAACTCACTGCCGTTGAGTTGGTTCTGACTCATAGCGACCCCTTCTTGGGTTTCTGAAGTGGTATCTCTAGGGAAGTAGATTGCCCAGTCTTCCTTCCAAGGAGTAGTGGCTGGTGGGTTTGAACCGCCAGCATTCTGGTTAGCAGTCAAATGCCTTAGGCACTAGGCCATCAGAGCTCCTGTATATACATATATATGTGTATATATATA